ATGGTCTGCTTTGCTGCTGGCCACATCGCGCGTCTGCGGGCAATAATTCTTCTTTTCCTGCAATAACTCATCCTTGGCTTTGTAACACCCACTGCAAAAGGAACCTTTGCTTCCTCCCTCCTCCTCAAATTGTTACAGGGCGTTACACCCCCAGCGGAGACAGCTACCATCCTTCTCGAAAGCTTCTCTGCTGCTGTAGATTTCTTCCTTTGGGGGTTTGGAAAGAAGCAGCAGTGGGCAAAATATCAGCTACAGGGAAGAGCTTCTCCTTCCGGATGACGTGCAGAGTTTGGGGTGACCATCGCACCCCCCAGGACAGGAGGGGCTCAGCTGCTGGGACATGACATGTTGCTGTCATATGTCCTTATGTTTCTGCAGCTCGTGGGTGGTGTCAGCAGGACTTGTAGGGTCTCTGGACCTTCCTTTTGCCACCAGAGGGAGAAAGGCTCAGCGCGAGGGTAGCGGGAGAGGAGGATGTCTGTGAAAATCATTCTGGATGAGGATAACCAGGCTGGAATAACCAGGCTGGCATCCCTGTGAGCTGGAAAATGTGAGCTCTGTTTCTTCTTGCTGCTGTGGCAGCTGTTGCTGATGACAATACAAAATTATTCTTTTTAAAATATTGCAGGGGCAGACTTTTCAACTTTTCATCGGAAAGCCACACACAAGTGTCAGGCTCTGGGGTCAGAAACAGGAAAAGGGGGTACAGGGAGGTCCTCCCATCAGCTGAGACTTGCCCTTTGGGAGTCAGCTAGCTGAAAACCCACTGCTTCAAGGAAGGAAACAGAACTTGCAAATTATATTCTCACAGCCTTCCCTCCCACCTGAATTTGTGGTGTATGGAGGGAGACCAGCTCTCCTGCAGAAATCAGTCCTGGTGGTGGATGTGTCTGTGACAGACTGCTTCCTAGGAGGAAAAAAAATCTCCTTGTGAGTGGAGAAGTAGCACAATGCATCTGAGCTCTTCATTGGCAGCCTTCTCCCCAACACATCTTTCCTTTGTAGGGTGCAAACCCTGCCAGACTCCACGCTCGTCTGTCTCCTGGTTTGCAGACCCCTCCAAAGTAGTCCATCAGCTCCTGGGAGCCAGCAGGCCAGGGTGAGACCTTCTGCTCTAGTGGGAGCTGGACTGAAGCTGGGACAGTTTAGGCAGGAAATAAGTAACATTTTCAGCAGTTAACAGTAATGAGTCACTGAAAGAATCTGCCCTGGGATCTGCAAGCTCTACCCTTCCAAGGGTCTTCAGACTTGGGGCTGGATGCCCTCCAAAGGGATGCTCTACATAGGCCACATGCTGAGGGCATGAGGATGCTGCTTGGGTGATGTTCTGCCTGGGGCTAGGCAGGAGGTTGGACAGATGACCTTAATGATCTGCAAGTCACTTATTGAATGAATAAATAAGTGGTTACACTTGTAGTGAAGCAGTATGATAGTAATGGTTCAACTGCTGGCGTGTGGGACCGTGGCTGCTGGAGTGGGCTGGCGTGGCTTTGTGGGCTGCGATTCCACCGATCGGATCTGTAAATCGTGTGCAAGGTGCCCGGAATCGCAGTGGCTCTTTGTGGTTCTAGACACTAGCACAGCTCCAGGAGCTGAGATAAGGTCTTGCTGTCTGTCCATGGAGTTGCCCACTGCCCCTGGGATGGCACAAGGAGCTCTGTGGCTGTGCTAAGAAAATCCATGCTCCCTTCAAGCCTTTCTTCATGTGGCCACCCCCTGGTTTTCCTCTCCTAGAGCTGAAATCAGGGTGGGAAGGCACAAAAGTTCAGGCAGCTAGTGGGCTCAGGGTGATGTCCAACACGGGGACTTGCTCCCCTTCTACTGGGTGCTGGGGTATTGGGATGAGCCTTGTTCCTCTGGTTGCCTGGATGTGCCTGCAGTGAGAGTGTAGGAGACAATTTCCTTACTTCTCCACTTCCTACAGTTCTCTGAGCAGACTTCCGTGTTACTCATCTCTGGCTTCCAGGGCTGTGTGATAACTTTCTGCTGGTCTCTGCTGGGGCCATTGATGAGGGCTTGTCCCAGGAAGATGGTATGTCTGTAAGAGATGCTCATCTGACATCTGTGGAGCATCAATTAGTATTTACAGGTTTCCACCTCCATTTACAATGCTGGATTTGACCCGACAGCCTAGCAGCAAGGGGCTCTGCTGCCTGCTCCTGGCTGCATCCCATCTCAGCCCATTCCCTCGATGCTGGGGGGAAATGTGGGTGCTGCTCCCAAGGCTGTGGATGTGACCTGGGGCCAGCGTTAACAAGAACTACTGCTTTTTGGGGAATTTCAGCTCCCTGGGGCAGACCTTGTAAGCTTTACCATTCTTGGTGAGATCTTGAAGGGAAAAGCAAACCAAGCTCTCTTTCCTGACACCCCTCCCTCAACAGCCCACACTCATTATCCTAGAATGAAATAAGGGGATCTGGCAAGGCCCTGCCATTAGCTGCTGTGCAGGGACCTTTGTTCAGCTGGTTTGTGCCCCTTGAGTTTCCACCATCTCCAGGCATCAGTTTGAGGGCCCCCAAGCCCGAGGGAAGCCCCAGAAGCTCTGCTGTGGAAGCGTGATCCCTCTGTCCCCTTCCAGCTCCACAGGGCCTGGACATGCTCCCCCTAGATATGGACAGCTTGATGTTTGGGAGCCTGAGATGAAATCCAGGTCTTGGGGAGAAGTTGTGAGATGCCACCATCACACAAGGTGAAGGTGGCCAGATCATGGCTCATGTCCTCTTGCCCAGGGCGGTCGATCCCCTGCCCGTTCTGTTTGTCTGGAGCAGGTGGGAAAGCTTCAGTGACTGGCGAGGAAAGAGCCACGTCCCCGTTGCGTGCACAGACACGTCTCTACTCAGTAAAATATTTATTCCTCCATTATTTCACAAGAGTTGTTTTTACAAAAACCTTACAAAAATTTCCAAAACACAGACATGCAGAAGAAAAACAATAAAAAAAAAATCCACTGTGGATCTTGTTACAAGTAATTGAAATGTACAAATAGAAAGGGGGAGAGGGAGCTTAGATTACAATAATCCCTCTGTCCTGCTACCTCTCCGTGGGTGCAATTTGTATCTCATCTCAGTGAGGCTTCAGCACTGACTGACAAGCTGCGATAAGTTGCCAAGAGCACAGTGAAGGAGGGGCCTTAAGATTAGGAGCGAATGTTTTCAAATATATATACACATATAGATATTTAGTGAAGAAATATTTATTCCCTGCTTTTTTTAGGTTTACAGAAATGGCATCTGCAAACTATTAAATGGGTTTATTTTCATTAATGCTCTCAAAGAGACAGCGACATTTATATCCCTGTGGTTTCATCTTGAATAACCAAAAAAAGAGCCCTATGCTTTCCATGGGAATAGGACCCCCCCAGCCCCTTGCTCCTGCCCCAAGTGGCGTTTCTCATGGTGGATTATTTGATCCATCTTCCCCATTCCTGGCCTGGTACATCTTGGCTTCTGTCAGGTCCCTGTGGCGTGTCTTGCTGTGGTCTAGGGAGCTCTGTTCTCCCCTTCTGACACAGCAAATGGGAGGAATATGAGCCTTGGAAATAGGGGGGGGGGGCACAGCGTGGGTATTTAGGCTGATTTTGCTCTCTCGATGAGGTGGATGGTGTTGTTCAGGCTGTGCCCCCTCCCTGCCTGCCATGACTGAGGAAGAGGCGGTTCCCAACTGGGGAGCTACACTGGGTGGAGCAGAGAAATTTGGGTCTGGGGGTAGGATAGGGGGGCCAGTCCGCTCCCAGCCGGAGGAAGTGTGTTCCCCTCCTGGTTGTCCCATCAGGTCTCCAGCTCTGGGTGCTGGATGAGTCCTTGCCTGGGATGGCGCTGAAGGTCCTGGGTACTACGTGTGGCTGCAGGGAGAGCCCTGGTGGGAAAGCGAGAGGATGCTCCTGGGAGTGATGGGGACTCAGGTGGGCACATGTGCAGTCGGGACCCTTTTAGCCTTGGTGTTGCACATGGGGGGATGTTTATCTGGAAGAAACACTTTAGCAACTGCTGTGTTCTTCAGATCTGCTGCTATGGTCCTCAGCAGGGCAAAGCCCTTCTTGGCAAGCAGGGCTGATGCCTTGTCTGTCCAGGCCACCCATCTGAGCTGCACTTGGCTGGTGGCTTGTTGCAGTGGATGAGGAAAGGGTGGTCTGGTTTCCAGAGGTCTTTGTCCACAGGGTAAAACCTCCCTCACTCTGCTTCATCCCCCATTGCTGCAGTGTTGGCAGGGGATGGTGGAGGGCACATCTCTTCACAGCTCAGTCCCATGGGTGAAAGACTGGGATGGTGTAAGCCTGAGGCAAGGCTGTTCACTCTGTGTCCGTCCCCCTGTATGTCCCACCTTGCAACCTCATTAGGCTGCACGGCAGGGTGGGACGAGAGGAAAACCATTTCCTTTCTGCAAAACCAAAAAAGCCCACCCCTGCGGAGTCGCCAGCCCCGGACCCCTGCACACATCTGTGGAGCTGCCGACAGAGAGGCTGGGCCTCCGGAAGGCAAAGCCTGCTTTGCCGTTGGCACGAAGCGCTGGGAGCCGCCTACTCAGCTCAAACCCAACAGCTTTTTCCAATTTTCTTTTTCCCTGGGACGGTTCAATGACCTCGGGCTCTGCAGAATCGCTGGCAAAGCCACTGAGGCAGGGCAGCAGTGCCTGCTTGGGGACCAGCGATGCTCCCCTCAGCTTGCAGGAGAGCTCACAGGCTCCGAGTGAATCTGTTGAGACGCTTCAGCCCTCCTTGTTCCTCTGGGAAGGGACAAAGCCTGATGCCATTGACATAGGCAGCTCCTAAATGCAGGCAACATGGTGCAGGGAGCTGGCTGGGGTGAGGGGTGAGCCATTGCCTTCCCAAAGTCTCTCCCAAGCGCCGCGGCTGGGGATACATAAAGAAGCTTTGGCACGCGTGGCTGAGCACTGTGAGTTGCGGCCTGGCGGAAAGGGGGGCTGGTGATCCTCCCACCGCCGTGTGCTGTCCCTGCGGGAGGAGAAGACCCAGTAACTCTTTGGCTCTCCAGGCGAGATACCCAAATTGGTCAAATCCAATAGTCCAAGATCCTTCCATGTTTGGAAGCAAATTCTTGTTCCCTTGGCAAGTCTGTTTGTCCTTGAAGAGCGCGTGGGGGGTATGTGTGTGTATATATAGCCTTTATTATAAGGGTGTGCGGAAAAGCAAGTTTCTAACCAAGTTTGCTCCATATGTGGCTATAATTATGTGCCACTTCGGCCTGGGACTGACTCTACCTTCAAAAGGGAAGAGGAGAGAAGAGGTGCTGAGACGTTAGACATAGTGGCTTGTGGGCTGCGCGGGCAACGGATTCGTCCTAGACCGGCACAGGAGCTCCTGGATGAGGCCACAGGGTGGGCTTTGCCCTTGTCAGTTCACAGTCGGCACCTGGTTCTGATGGAGACTGAACTCTTTGGCTTTGAGACGCAGGCTGGCAATGCTGTTGGCCATGTTCACCCCTTGAGTGGGTGTCGCGGTCCCACTGGAGCTGTAGGAGGGCACAGTGCTGCAGGGAGGGAGCAGGGGAGGAATGAGGCATGGCCCACAGAGAAGTCCCTGAGCCCCATGAGGTATTGCTGGCTTCCCAGGCCAGACCGGCCATTCCCTCTTAGACATCTCCCATAAAAGCAGTCAAGGCTTTGCATTTTTATGTGGCTGGTTGCATGTGGGAACCCCTCAAACTATGCACCAGGAGGCCCTGCCTTGGGCTTTTGGATGTGATAGCTGGACGCTGAGAGCTGGGAACCAGAAGGAACCTGTGCCACCTCCTGTGCCGAGATGTGGGAAGGGTCAGCACAAGGCCAAGTGAATCCCTTGTGAGGATCAGGGCCCCTGCTCCAGCCCAAAAATGCATGGAGACAGGGAAGCCTGCTCAGCGGCGGGCAGGGAATGCTCAGACAGGGCTCAAACGGGTTCCCAAAGCAGAGTTGGACGAGCTCCTTTTGGCCCCATAAAACTCCCTGTGTCCCCAGCAGTGGCACAGGACTGCGCTCCTGCGGC